AAAATATTAATAAACCTATTGATGAGAAATTAATTCCTCCAGGTTAATCAGACAAATGCTGTTTGATCCTTGGCCTTTCCAAAGAGACTGAGAACTTCAGTTTTCTTCCGAATTGTGAAATTGTTACCAGTCAGTAGCACTAAATTTACTCTGAATAAAAGGTCTTATGGTGCAATAATAATAATGTGCAAATATGCAAGATGCTAAACCTTCTTATTGTTTACCTATATTTCTCTTTTAAATTATTTTGTATTTCTGAATAAACGATATCTCATGAGTGCGTATTTGGAAGGAAGAAGTTATAAAGTGCAAATATTTAAAATAATCTCTTTAGATTTTTTCTGTTCACACCAAATTGCTTGATTGTAGACATTTTATTGCGATTAAATATTTATGAGGCAAGTAATTTATGATGACAGCATATTTCTTATAAGTTATACAAATGATGTCAAACCCTGTATGAAATATAAACCGCTTTCTAATTGCAAAATCTTTAAAAGAAGTGGCTGCTATAGAAGTATTTGTTTTGTTGTTTAACTGTATTGGAAGTACTTTTGGATTTGCTTGTTTTTTAAACAAACAAACATGTACCTCACATGTTTTAGATGCCCAGGATAAGTCCAGAACGTGCTTTTTTGTTTCCAGACTTGGTGGAATGGTTTCACCGTCTCTACCTGCTTATCTGTTTGTTTGCCACATGCAGCTGTACCCACAGATTTGAATTCATGTCAGTGCTCCGTTATCTGCTTTGAACCAAATCAGCTGGAGTAGTTCAGACTAAGCTGACTTTTTCTAAAAGTGAGCATTCTAACAGTGAGCATTCAGCATGAGCTATCTTGTTGACAGAGGTGGGAGCTGGAAACTTTTGGTGGGAATGACATAAAAGCAACTGAGGGAACAAGGGCCTAAGCTACCATTGCTGTTTAGAAAGTGGACACCTGTCCCTTTATTAGTTTGTATCTGTCTGATTCAATAAAGTATGGAATGTAAGTATTACCTTGTCATTGTGTGTATTTCTTTAAAATGAGTATTTTTATATATGCATTACGTAGCAAAAAGTAAACTACTGTAAGCGCTTGAACAAATGAAGTTAGTTTGGCGTAGCCTTGTGTCATAGAGTTACTGTGAGTGTCATGAAGTTAAAGTTGTGGAGTATGTTAGAGTTATATAGAAATAAAACTTACAGTGTGATTCTGAAGCCAGAAATGGCTGTCTTTGAGATCTGTGTAAAAAACACACCTTTTGGAAAGGTGATTCTGTGTGTTTACAGAACGTGCTTGGTGAGATTATTTTAATGTTGTCCATGTAGATTATTTACTGCAATGCAAAACAGAAGCCTTTTTTTTTCCCTCCTCTTCCTTGTAGTTTCTTATACCACATTTATTACTGGTTTTATCTGAAGAAGGCCTTCAGTACATGATTAAGTATTGTCATAAACTTTTGTGATACAATTTTTCATCTCGGTTCTTATGGAGAAGACTGTGTAAGCAATGTTTTTGTTTTGCATTTTTCTCTGTGTGTGTACGTTACATAATTGATCCTAACTTAAAATCTGTTTCCATTAGCATCTGGAAATTTCTTTACAGCTGTGTTTGACTTAATGTATAAATTATTTCCTATCTATGAGCCATTCCACAGTTACTGTATCCACAGTTCTGAAGCACGTGAATGACCTAGGTTGGCAGTGGATGAGAATTTTTGTGTAGTGTACCTCTCTTATTTAAGGTAGAGATACATACTTTAATTCCTCATTTAGTTATGAATTGTAGCGAAAAAGGATGACATTTCTGTGATCTTAATGTTCTTCTTTCCACCACTTCTGAAGAAAGGAATGTGCAGACAGCTTACGCATGACCACAAAGCATTTATCTGTAAGGAGGATGTTCAGTGTAAGTGGGACAGCCATAGAGATGCTGTCTCTCAGAAACAAGACTTGCTTGTGTTTATCTTGTAAATCCTCAATACCCAAAAGCTGAGGTTGTAGAATAGCATTTTCCTATTGAATCTGTTTACTGCTATCTATAGTAATATCTTAATTTACTTTTGAGTTTTGAAATATCTTGCCTATAGAATGTCTTACTGTGGTTGGATATCACAGTGGCCAATTCTGTTCATTAGTTGTCTGGCCTGGGTGTCTCAAAATCCTCATTTTTAGAAACTTTCCTATTGGGAATATTTGTTCTCAGAGTTGCTGAAGTTCCACTTTAAAGTGTCAGTAATGGGTGGGAACATCAGCAGGACAGAATTTGCGCTTGAATTTCTCTGCCTGTGGCTTGGTCCACGTTGGAATTATTTTGGGGATGGTTTATCAAGTCTTTGTCTCTCACATTGTAGTATGCAGATCCAAGCAGAACATTGGAGCCATCAAGAAACGTCTGCCTACAAGTGACCCTAGGGAGCAGCCTGCGGTTGCTCATGTTGGTTGGCCAGCTGGTTTTTTGGGGATCTCTGCCACATCTTTTCTGATTGCCATTCCTATACGTGGGCACCTGTTTAGACTGGGCCTCTCCATTTTATTGTTCTAATTACTACTTGTAAGCAAAGACAAGTGGCAACAGGTAGCTGTAACCTTAAGGGACAAGGGGAGGAATGAGGGTAACTGCAAGGTGCTGCACTTGCACATGCTAACAATTCCATGTGCCACGGCATTCAGAATCCTGTGGAGTTTCATACTTTCAATAAAAGTACACAATTTAATACAGATTAATACACAGTTTAATAAAAACATAATGCTCACTACCTTGACTTTATCTTCAAATCTCATCTTCTTTTACAGGACATAATTTTTCTTTGTTCCTCTTTATGCGGTATTCAACATGCTTTTGTCTTACCTTACATTTTTTCTTTATATTGGTTCTATTTGTTTATTTATTTATTACTCTTGTTATTTTAAATGTTTTTTAAATGCTCTTGAGTTCTGGGAAGAGAGAAAGCTCTGTAAAGGCAAGTGAGGAAGATGTTCCAGTGCTCCCTTGCTCTGCACTTTGTTCTGGATTCTGCATCTTTGTTAGTTTCTGCATCAGTCCCTTCTGCAGGTTGCTGGGGCCATTTAAAGAGTCAAGATTATGGGATGTGGTTAGAGAATGTGGTAAACTTGCTATTTGCAAAGTTTGAGCACATAAACTATAGTTGTACTGGCAAAGTTAGTTAAGAGACCAGGGATGTGCTGTGAAATAGTACTGTATGATAGTAATTAGCACTGGAAACTAATAGCTAGTGTTTCTAGACTGTGTGCAAAATTACAATCCTGATGTAAAGATTCACACTGTAACTTGTGCTTTGTATGAGCCTGCAAATCTATTCCTCCTGTGGCGCCAGCTTTGTAGGCAAACCTAGTCATTCCACAGTTGTCTGTTGTCTCTTGTTTCGAAAGGAGCATTAATGTTGTGAACAGGAGGTCTGTATTACTAGCTCAGTCAACATGCAGAAATAAAACTTAAGAAATGTTGATGGAACATTTGACTCACAGGAAGCAAGTAAAAGTGAAACCTTTGTGACTCAGCTACAGCTAAATCAGTTACTTGTTCTTGCTCTGGGTTTATTTTCACAGTTTTTTTTTCAGCTGAGTGACATTCATCTACTGGAAGTACAGTTGATGAAACTGTCTTATCAGACCAAGGTTTATCAGGTGTAAAGATTCTTATACATCACAGCCTGACTGTATTAAAAATGTTTAAAGGAGAAAAGACCTGTGAAATCTCTTCACTATGATAAGCAGAATCTGAGCAAATGGGTTTGTATCCAAAGTTGCTCAATTTACAGACTCTTGAGTCTTTCAGATTACTTTCACCATGGCCATGTACGGTGTTAATAATCTTGGAAGTTAAGATGACTCTAATTTAATTACAAAGAAAAAATTACAGTGAAGGAACTCCAATGTGTCTTCAGTTGTGTAAGGCTGAATACTGATGGTCCTGCATTCTTGGACCTACTTTTCCAATATTTATTTTGAAACGTTAGCAATATCAAAGGCTGTTTCTAAAGTAAAATTCAACATAATCACTTTAAACAATTTTTATGCCCTGGCTCAGAAAATTATTGTCTATGTGAAATGGAGTATAAATACTGGCTTAAGTAGACCAAAGTAAGAGCGGACTTCCAAGATAAATTGAGAAATCAGTAGATTAGATGGATCAATATGTCAAAAAATGAACCTTTGGGTATGTGTGTATTGATTTTTGACTGGACTTTGACAAAACCAGATGAAAGTACTGTCTACCTGAGAATGAAGAGTCTTGTGATTGGGTCAATAATGCTACTGCATGTCCATATTTCTGCCCAAATTTATAGCAGAAGCACCTCAGTCTCTCACAATCCAAGGTGGTATCAAGCTTGCAGGAGCACAGGGAGAGTCACCCTTTCCAGTCCAGTGAACACTGGCTGACAGCAGTAAGAATAAATCCCAAGAGGAATTTCTCTCCAAAATGGCCTTCAACCGGCAGAGAGAGCTCCCTGACTATGCTATAATCAGTAACAAAGCCACCTGGCTCCAGGGATCCTGTGCAAACTGTGGTGCCTCTATGTGTCTGTATGTGTGTGTTCTTGTGGCATTGCTTTTCAAAAGTGCCTCTTGCTAGATGATTGGGGAAGCAGTTCAGGAGCAAATAGGACTACCTTTTTGTCTTGTGTGTGCGTTTGTAGGTGCAAATTGCTATTTGCACATAAGGCTAGCTGTTAGAGAGGACCTGGGGAGGGTTGTGCAAGGATGACCCTGTTCGGTGCCTAGCTAGTAACAAGAAATGATGTGTGTTTAGTTCCTAGTTTCTTTTAAAACAACCTCCTAAAGCTACTCCCCACCTCACCCTCATCGTATGATGTGGCCAAGTGCCAGGGTGCTGCGGCAGGCATGCCTGCAGGGGTGTGTTGGGCCTGGCTGGGTGCGTTCCAGTCGGCTCACAGCCCCGGGAACCGGTTTGTCGGGGCCAGCACAGGGCACCTCCTTCGGCGCCCAGCCTGGGCCCCTTCCTTTGTAAGAGGAGGAAGAGGAGCCGAGGACAGCGATGAAGGGGCTGAGCCGCCTGCTCCACACCAAGGAGGATGCCATGCAGGGAGCTGTGGCAACCAGTCATGATGGCCGTGAGTGTGTGGGGGTCGGAGGCGAGGCAACCCAGCGGGCAGTGCTGGCCTTGAGCCCCTCATTGCGGGAGCCCTGGAGGCAGCGTGTCAGGGACCCTCAGGGCTGCTGGGACCTTGGGGCCCACCTGAACCCCCTTTTTGCCTTGACCAGAGAAACAAAATGAGCGGTGGGGGGTAAAACAGAGGAAGTTGAACATGAGCTGCTTTATACGTAGTAAAACATGTCAGCGAGGACTTGTGTAAGTGAGATCGGGAGCTAGAGTTTGGTGTGTCTGTCTTCCAAGGGTCCTGCAAATTGCCCAGCGCCCTGCTTTAACTTCACCCCTGAACCTGTCCGAGGGAGTTTGCTGGCATTAGTCACAACCTTGGGGCTGAGCCCTTGCCAGCAGTTTCACAGCCGATCCGGGCCCCCGTTTTTTGGGGCACACAGAAATGGGAGGACCTTCTGACCTCCTTGCACTCAGCGGCACAGCTCCCAGTGACGAGGTTTCCACCTTTCATCCCCCACTGGTTTGTGAAAGAATGGCCTGCTCTGGTGTGGGCTGAAGTTAGTGAAAACGGGTTATTTGTGGAAACTGAGCAGTGATTGTTAAACCCTGCTGGGGCCCTGTCCTGTGATCGCAGCATGACAGCCAGAAGCCCTTCTCCTGGGCCGTGCTTCCTGCTTCCAGGCTGGCAAAGAGGGCAGATAAAGAAAAGAAATGAATAAAATACCACTGTTGGACTCAATAGGTAGTTTTCCCCATGACTTCTTTGAATTGGAAAATGATTACTTTAGAAAAAGATTCTCGTGACTTAACAAAATACCTACTTTGCCCTAGTCATTTTATTTCTGGTAACAAACAAGAAAACGTAGAGAAAACATTGAAAATGTTACCAAACCATTAAATGTATTATTTAATTTTTAGAAACAATACACTAAAAATATTTTTTGTTGTCATTTGAATTTTAATATTGTTATTATTTTTGTATTTTACCTCCTTGGAACTCTTCAGCTCATTCAAATTCCTGGACTTTCTCCATGTGCTTTTTGAGACAATGGCAGATTTCATCTTGCGGATACCACAACAGGAAATTAAAAATGGGAGGGAGGAGGTGAAAAGATTTCCATTGTCTATGAGTACAAAAAACTCTCGTACATTTTTACTTCATTAATAAGATATAAATATAAGGAAAGAAAAATTGAAGGTACTTCAAAGCTTGAGTTTCTCTTGAGGAAGACTTTCTGTTTTCAGGTGAACAAAGCGATTTACTTTTCTGCAACTTTTTACTTCCTTGCCCTTCCAAGACAGCAGAAATGTTGGAATGTTCAATACAGTGCCGACAGGGCTCTCTACAATGAAAATCAACTGATAAAATTACTACTTTAGTTAGCTCAAAAGAAAAATTGAATATAACTATTTTAAAGTTACAAGTATAATTATGTAGTTATGGTATAACCTGTAGGGCAATAAGCCAGAAGTTTTGTATGAAGCCAAAGAAAATAACCTCCCCAAAAGACTGACAGCCACAAATAGATAATCAATTGCTAGTGTTACTGGAAAATAGAGTAATTGCTAATAATGCAAGGGGTGCCAAATCCTGGAGCCCCTAACTTGGATAGAAAGCTGCCATAAATCTGTAGTCTGACAGCTCTATGCTCCTGGAATTTCATGCATGAACAAATAATTTTGTGAAAGCAGCAAAAGGTTGTGCAGAAAGTCACTGCTGTAGTGTGCCTGGTTTCCCATTGTTCTTAACTCCTGAATTATGAGGTATTAAGAAGCATCAAGCCCAGAACAAAAGGTCGTCTTTTTAACAGCATACAGCCAATTCATGACTTCTGGACAGAAGAGAAAAGATCAGTTATTAATTCTTTGTCAGAACTACAGCAAAACTGTCCTTGCTGATGCAGATACAGTGAAGAAACATGATTTTCTCTTGTTTCTTGAAGGCAGTGCGACTAAACTGTTGGAATTTTTCCTGAATGTCCTGAGATGCAACAGCATTTATTTTTGCATCCTCACGTAAGATACATGAACATTCATCAGCAGTCAGTAAGAATAAATGTGGCCTAACTGTAACTAATTGCAGCTAATTGATGCCCTACGTTTTGATTCCATGCTTGCCACAAATTTGCCTTGAGCAAGAGTGACCATTTGTTTACCTGTGTTTGAAATCAAGGTAGTTTAAAGCTCTGCAGGATGCTTCTCTAAGGTAAAGACTACAGAAACTACGAGTGTGGCATTTATTCTGCAAAGATCCCTGTTTATGATGCTGATTTTTCTGTCAGCCACACTCTTTGTCACAGATGCCAGGCTTGCATTTTTATTTGCAACTCTTTTTTTTTTTTTTTTTTTTTACCCTCATGTTGTGAAACAAGCAGGTAACATTCTGTGATTTCCAGCGAATTCTGGGATGATGTTTCTGTTTGTTGTTTGAGGTGCTTGGATAATGTCATAGGAAAACTGGAAACAGCTTTGCAAGTGTCCAGTTTAATTTCTAGCTTGTTTTGTACAGTACAATTGTGATTATTCACACTGAGATTATAACCATGGATACCATGTAAAATGCAATTAAATGAGTGCCATACTGATTTTCCTTAGTATGGTCTGCAGTCATACTGCCTCAAGCTAAGTTAATGAACTTAGACATAATGCAGTAGGATGAACTTGCATGAGAGGCTTCTAAGGCACAGATGATTGCTGCAGTTTCTAGTTCAACAGAGGGTGCTGTCTTCTTTGGTGGTATCATTGGACAAGTGGCTTTCAGGCCAAAATATTCTAGACAGAAGATAGCCAAGTGATTAACTTTTCAAGTGTGATATGCTAGAAAATTAAAAATACCTACTAACATTTTTGCAACTGATTTAACTACTACACTGATTTCTTCTAAGTGATTAATTAGATATTAAGGTACAAACATGAGAAATACTCTGACTTCTCAGTTAGCTAAACCAGTTATCAGACACTGGAATTCTGTTTTCCAAAGTTACTGAACATTGGGTGTCTCAATATGTGCTGCAGCTACTTTCGTTGACCAAACAGATGTTCATTTTGGGGTTGAGACATTAAAGTAAGGTCCCAATGTAATAGTAAATTCCACATTGTGGCCCAATTTTGAGTTCAAGTACACACCTTCCCTCCCCCCTCCCCCCGTAAGTAAAACTCCTAGTTTGTTTGGGTTTTTTTTCTCAGTTGGGTCATACCATTTGGTTACTGCTATACATTTTATTTATTTTGATGGTGTGCTTTGTTTTAAAACAGAGCAACTTTTCCAAGAATAGGACATAAATGCTGTGGTTTGTACTGTTCACTGCTATGCCTATAAAATACTTCAGGACCCATTTAGATGGCAAGAGCTTCATAAATAAACTCTTGTTCCTGTGAGCAGTGCAAATAACGGTAATCCATGCTGTGAAAAGTCTACTTGTATTTGCACTTGAAAGTTGAAACTGAAACATCAGGTAGATGTCTCTAGAGGAGAAAAATGTAATCCTGAAACACTTCTATGATAAGAGGCAAATGATTCTCATAACCTATGAAATCGGGACAAATAACAGAAAGTAAGAACATAATACCTTAAGTTGGTTATGGCTATTTTTTTAGTAATACAATTTTTTCATCATGTTTTTCCACAGTATTGCCAGATGAGAGAGAATTTCAATATGCTGCTAAAATGAACAATTTGGAAACTATGGAGAAGCTGTTTAAAAAGAATGTTAACATAAATGCTGTAGATACTGTGAGTATGAAGTGTCTGACAGATCGCTGATCTGAAATGTTAATCCTTGGGTTTGCATGGTGGAGTCCCAGCATGCTATCTCCGTCAACTGCAAGGTGGTGAGGCCACAGGAGCGCCTTCTAGGACCTGATTAAGAAATGTTTTACACATCCAGTGTGGACAGTAGGGTTTATGCAGCATAACTCACAGGTCTTTGCATTTAGCCACTAGTCTGTGCATCACACTAGGAGCTAAGGACTTCTGAATTGTTGTCTCTGCTCTAATATTTACTCTATGTTCTTGGGTGACTGATTTCTTGAGTCCCCCATCTTTCAGAGTGGGAGGACTTAACCTCACAGTCACTTTGAGAATTAATTTATTCTGATAGCATTACAAATTTCAAGTGTGAAGTGTTAACTGTTCCATTTGTATGAAACCACGGGAGCATTCTACCATGTCTTCTGGCTCCAAGCTGAGATCAGAGTTCAGATTTACCCTAGACAGATGAAAATGCGTTTCTTATGCTGACATCAACACTAAGCCTAAAATCTGAGGATTTATACTTCACAGGAACCAAATACAGTGCTGTGTTGCTTATGAGAGGTACTTCAACAGCAATGGAGCAGTCGTGATATTAATCTGGGAGTTGTGGAGAACAGTTTGCCTTCAGTGGCTACATATAATTCATTGACCCATGAACATCCAATGTTACTTAATCTTAGGTTCTGAAAAAACTTGCTTCCCTTGCCCATGTGCATTTTTCCCCACTGGAGAACTGAGGAGATAGTACAGGTGCATTCCTTGGTTTGTTTGTGAAAAGGAGAGGGAGACAAAAATTTCTTTTCAAGAAACTTCTCTTGAACAATGAGAGTGTTCCCATCAATTATATAGTACTCCAAAAAGTCACTTGAAAAATGGTTCTTGCTCCCTTATTGCTTTCCAGAATTCAGCACATTAAACTAAATACTTTTCCAGTCCAGTAGTTGGAATCTTTACTCTGTCATCCTTAAATCAGGTCTATAGCGTAAGAGGTTTACTACTATAGCTATGTGGGTGTTGTGCATTGATTGATTCTCCTAGTAGGGATGTAGCTTATACTGGCAAAACCATTCTTTTGTTCATGTTGATCATTCCTGCCCCTGTTCTCCCAAGCCAAATAATAGGCTGCCAAAAGGTGAGTTTTGTTGACAGAACTATTTCTGTGCAAGGGGCTTTCTCTGGCATAAATGCATGTCATAAATCCCACCTTTTTATGCTTTTAACACATATAGCTGTAAATTTAAACTTATACATGGATAAGACAGCTGATCTGCATAGAAGTGTAAGAGAACAAATCCAAACCGACTTTTAAAGTTAATTAGTTAAATCACTTATACATCTGTGAATGGAAACTCTCAGTGAATTATGTTAAACCCAGTTATGTTTATTTTAACTGGAAGCGAAACCCTCTCCACTAAAGTTTAATTCAATTTAACCAATCCATTTTACATTCACACCATTAATTTCTTTAATGAAAAATTAATCAAGTGTTCCTCATAAGTGTTGAGCTTATTCACCTGTGTAAAATTACTCACTATTTGCAAGGTGGAAGCTTTCATTTACATAGATAATGACTCAGTCTGGAAAGGTGACAAATACTGAGTGAGGGAGGAATCTTATCATACATTGCAGAGAGATAGTCAAAAGCAGGGAGGATACCAAAAAGCAAATCTAATTGTGTAAATCTAGCCCTCAGCTTTTCAAATATAATAAAACAGTAAACATGGATGCTTCTTGTACTGCATGCATCTCCTGTAGGCAGTATGTGATTACTTAATCCCACTTTAACATTTCGGTGAACTTCAATGAAGGGATGATGCTGTGCAGAGTAACTAAATCATTCTGGTTCTATAAGAAATCTTGAAGATCAATACCTAAATTCTATCCAAGGGAACAAAAACGCAGATAAAGACCAAGCATAGCTGTTGAAGGAGAAACATGCAAATGTATATATATTAACAAATACATTTGTCGATAATCAGAGAATTCAGACATCCTGATCAGCTGCACAAGGAAAAGAACTGTATTATGGACCTGACAACCAAAGCTTTGCTTATTTCAGCTGAAGCGCACTGCGTTCCATTTTGCTGTTGCAAGAAGTCATATATCAGTGGTGGATTTTCTTCTCCATCACAAAGCTAGACTTGATATGGCAGATCAGGTAAGCTGGCTTCTACATTTTGATTCATATGGTATAGCAAAACCTTAGGGGAAAAGTAAAAGCAGATATTTGCCTTATGCTCCCTGTTTTGCAAAGTTAAGTGCTTGCTGTAAATGCTTCAGTTTGTCTTAAGACTGCACGCATTTATATGAAAAAACTTCATTAGAGGAAAAAAACTGCCCAGAGCTTTGACTGTTGAATATCTGAGTGAGCACAAGGGTGGTTCAAGCCACCTGTGCAAATACGTTGTCTGTGGTAGTTGTGTGTTAATCATTGGCCACTTAATATGAAGGCAATCACTGAAAGTAAAAGTTAGCTCTGGGGATTGCTAGGAGCTCAGAAAGTAACTCCTTGTATTCTTTCCCTCCATTTTTATGTGAGTAGCTTAATGCAAAACTCTCAGCTACCCTACAGCCTCCAAGACATTAAGAGTTTAGCAGTGTATGGCTGATTTGGTTGGGACAGATGGTGATCCACAGTGCAAGATTTGATTCAGATGTTAAACCCAAATGTGTGGTATGTTACTAATAAACAGGCTAATCAAGCTAAGAGTTTTCCAGTGAACTGGGTGATGAAAATAGATGAATCACTTACCTTTTTTCCCCTGTTTGCTTCTTTCTCCTTATCTACCATATATGGCAGTGTTTAAGTTGTAAGTAAGACAAATTCCAGGTCATGGAGGCTGGAAGGAGAAAGCTGCCTTGTTTTCACATTGTGTTGTAATGAAAATAAGACTAGAGAGATCTGTCAGTTCCAGTTACCAGCAGCTCCTGGCTTGGGCATGTTCTTGCAGTGTAGGTAACATCTCCTTGTTAGTGCTGCTTGAGTTACTCTGAAATGTTCTCCCAAGCTGCCCTGTCAGTGAACAGCTCACATGCTGCTTTGAAGAAATACAGCTGTCTATCTGGACCCTATCACCTCCTAAGGAAAACTTGCACTTTTGTAGCCAACATTTCGCTTTTTTCTGGCAAGCTGAAAAACGTTGCCTGACTGAAGTACTCTAATAGCCTATGATATAAATGCTAATAGGGTAGTTCTGCAAGAAGTGGACAGTCTTTAAGTAGTAGTGCTCTCTATATCAACAGTTAAGGAATGGATCCCTGGATCTTTTACAGAGTACCACTGGGTATGGGGTTAATGTAATTTTATTCTGTAACTATTTTAAATTATTCTTTATGGCAAATTATTTTTCAGTGGCTATCTTCCAGATTTGTTGAGGCAATAAGCTGACTCAAAACATTTTATGGGTCCTTTAATTACCTGATAGGGTCCACTGAAGCTGGGTTGCAAATATAGACACACGCCCCTCCCCCCTGTTGGGGTTCTATTAAACACTCAGAATCTCATTCTAATCAAGGATTACCTTTTAATTATTAGCTGTCTTTAATTCTTAGATGTTGTTAATCATCTTTGTTGAAAGGCCATTGGAAACACTCCATGATAATTAGCTCACAGACTTAAATATTATGACATTACATATTGTATTTGACAGTGATTCATGTACTCTCTGGCAATCAGTTTGGCCTTGCAATTGGTAAGAAATAGAATGAAGATACCATGACTTTATTTCTTACTCCATTTCTATTTCTGGCATACTTTTTGTATTAATAAGCTTAAGGTCTTAAAATTCTTAACATTTCTCAGTACAAAAAGTAAGCTGATTAAAAACACACATTAGTGTTCTTAGCAGCAGATATGTGGTACTCCCACCTTTAGATTGGAGACTTGACATAACTCATGGACATAGTTAAGATGTTCATTAAGCAGCACATCTTTAAGAAACCAATAATACATTAACTGGTAAATAAACACACCGTTATCATTAGTAGTATTAATTCACAATTATATCACTCCAAGTTGCAGTGATTGAGTTACAATTCTATTGTTTATTATCAGTATTAGCACTGATACATAATTACATTACTGCAAAGAAATCTTACACTACTAAGCTGCAATTCTGTTGCTTGTCCTTCTGCACTTGATGTCAAGGTACAAGTTTATCCCTTCTTACCCACCCTACCATCCCGACTCTTTCAGACGTGGATCTGATGGAGAGTCCAGCAGGAGAGTCCAAGGCGGTCCCTTCCTATATCAGGGGGAGCTTAGGTCTGCAGGTCAACTTCACCACTGTCAGCAGGAGTCCACAATTACAAGATTGTGGACATCACAAGATCATTCTTTTTTTTTGTTCTCCAGCTGATCTTATAACCTATTTACATTTTTTTTTTTTTTCCTTTTCCTGAATCCACCTTTTTGCTACCCTAGTGCCTCCTTTTCTGCTCCCAGAATCCTCCATTTCAAACAGCCCATGCACAGAATTGTGCAGAATCACACAGACTGGCTGATGTGGGAACTTCTGGAGATGACCTAGTTACGCCTCTTGCTCAGTGCACAGCCTGTAAAAGCAGGTTGCTCAGAGCTATGTCCAGTTGGGTTTTGATTATCTTCTAGGATGAACACTCCGTAACCTCTCTGGGCAATTGATTCCAGTGTTTGATCATCCCTAGAGTTTATCTTATGTTTAAATGAATCTTTCTGTACTTCAATTTGTGCCAATTGCCTAAAAAAAAACAAACACCACCGAGAAGAATCTGGCTGCAACTTTTTTACTCCCTTCTATCAGGTATTTATACACAATGATACCCACCTCAGCCTTCTTTGGCTAAACAGTACCAGGTCTCTCAACCTCTTCTCATATGTCAGATGTCCCTTAATCATCTTTGTGGCCCTTTGTTGGACTCTGTGCAGCATATTCATGTCTCTCCTATACTGGGGAAGCCCAGAACTGGACACAGTACTGCAGGTGTGCCTCATGAGGGGAAGGATCACCTCCCTTGACCAGCTGGCAGTGCTCTCCCTAATGCAGCTCAGGATACCATTGGCCTTGTGTGCTGCAAGGGCACATTGCTGGTTCATGGTCAACTTAGTGTCCACCAGGACCCCAGGCCCTTCTCTGCCAAACTGCTTTCCAGGCACTTGGCCCCCAGTCAGTACTGGTGCCTGGGGTTGCTCCTCCCCAGGTACAGGACTTTGCATTTCCCCTTGTTCAGTTTCATGAGGTTCTTGTCAGCACATTTCTCCAGCCTACCGAGGTCCCTCTGGGTGGCAGCACACCAATCTGGTCCATCAGCCATTTCCCACAATTTAATATGATCTGTAGATTTGCTGTGGGTGTGCTCTGCCCCATCATTCAGGTCATTAACGAACATGTTAAACAGTACTGAACCCAAGATCAATGCCTAGTGTGCATTGCTAGTGACTGGTCTCCACCTGGACTTTGTGCTGCTGATCAGAACACTTTGGGCCTGGCAGTTCAGCAGTCTTTCAGTACACATTGGTATATCCGTTTGTCTGTGCTTGTACTTCATTGGTTTGTCTACAAGGCTGTCATGGGGGACAGTGTCAAAACTGTTTCGAAAGTTGAGATAAACATTCACATCTCTCCTCTCATGTACCAGGTTAGTCTTCTTATCGTATAAGGCTATCAGGTCTAGTTACTTTTTATCCTTGGTCATAGTTGCGAAGGTTTTTCAAGGCAGGCTTTTGAGCCACAGTCACAAATTTTGCCCAAGCCCAGCTCTTTTCTTGTAGCCTGCGCACCAGATGCATGTTCCATATTGACTTCCAGTGTTTTGCACTGCAATTTCTGCTTGCTGTGCCTAGTTTGGGTCTCCCCAGTACAAGAAAGACATTGATGAGCTGGAGCGAGTCCAGTGCAGAGCCCCTAGGATGCTTAGGACTGCAGCACATGGTGTATGAGGAGGTGCTGAGAGAGTTGGGTCTGCTCAGCCTTGGGAAGAGAATGGTAAGGGAGGTCCTTATGGCTGCCTGCAGCTACATAAGGGAAGAATATAGAAAAGGCAGAAACAGACTCTTCTCAGAGGTGCACAATGGTAGGACAAGGGGCAGCAGACACAAATTGCAACACAGGAGTCCCAGTTAGGTACAAGGAGAAAAGTATTCACTGTCAGAGTGGTCAAACACTGGAACAGATTTTCCACAGAGTTTGTGGAGTCTCAATCTTTAGGCTGCTCAAAACTTGACAGGAGAAGGTCCTGAGCAACATGATCCAGTGGGTCAGGCTTTGAGCAGGAGGCTGGAGAAGTGTGACTTCCAGAGGCCTCTTCCAGCCTGAACTGTTTTGTTATTCAGTGAATAGTTTGTGAGTAGTATCCCAAAGTCCCTGTCACAGCAAGCATCCTGCTGTCCAAAGTGTTATGCCAACATGGATAAAAACTGTTCCTGTTCTCCATTAGAGGTGGGAGTCAAACTATTTATTCCTCATTTACAAACTATGGAAGGGTTATAACTGCTAAGGAAGTGTCTTGTTCCCTCTTGCTTCCTTTAGATTCCTCTGACTCCATCTCTTAGATCAGGTGCTTTTAATGGTGGAGTACAAATGTCTTGTGTTTACACAGCACTTAGCATGGTGAACCATGATTTATGATGCTGCACCTGGACACACAAATTGAGGAAGATACATGGAAAAGCTAGAGATCTGTGGCCAAGACAGGAGACACTGTCTGGAAGTTCAGTATCTCTATTACTTTAGGCTCTGAGAAGTTAACAACAGGGGTTTTCTTCCTGTAAGAGAAGAACTTTTTAGAGAATTTGAGAGACAAAAAGAGAACCTTAAAAAGAGGGCTAACTGGAAAATTATGGTGACTGATGGAAATATAGTCATTATATATCATCACCTGAAATGTCATCCATTGCATGCAGTGCTAACGATCTACATGGTTTCTGGAGAGAGGGAATAATTTCCAGGTAGTATTTAATACTCCCATCTTAAAATGGGATCAGTCCTTCTCTGGAGATGCTAGACCTTTTGTCAAGAGGAGGGACAGCCTGAACATTTAGCTAGGTCTTGATGCGTGACATTTGGCTTAATTTAAGTGAGATGAATCCCACTCACACTGCCAGGTGTTAATACTGGTTTTCTAAAAGCTTGCAGAGCAGAACCCACTCATACACTGAATTACTCAAAAATATTTAAAGAAATTTGGTATGAGGCATTTTAGTGATAATTTTTGCCTTTATCATTTTATTTGAAGCATGGCCTGACAGTGATTCATCTTGCAGCTTGGACTGGAAATCTGGATATAATGCGAAAACTAGTTAAAGCAGGAGCTGATCAAAAGGCTAAGAATGAGGTTTGTTGCTGACTAATTTTTACCAACTCTAAACATGTTTATGTTGGAAAAAAATCAAACTTGTTCTTACGGAGTTGCTTATGGATTTTCAGGATGGAATGAATGTACTGCACTTTGCAGCTCAGAACAACAGCGTTAAAATAGTTGATTATTTTCTACAAGATCTTCATCTGAACGACTTGAACAAGCCTGATGGGGTACAGTATATTTCTTTCTGTTTATTTCTTCATGTTATGAGGCATCTGTTGTGGGCAAAACAATCTTGGCTTGGGGAATTTCAATGAATTTTTATTTAGTGCCAGTTATATAAACTTCTAATTACTGATTTGGGTATTGAGAAACAAGTAAGACAATCAGCCAGACAAGCACTTGGGGAAAACACCTTTCCTTCCTCTTTGCCTGTCCTAGCTGAACTCCAGACACCTCTCCTCCCCTGCTCCCCTTGCTTTTGCTGCCTGTGATGCTCAGTCCCATCAGTGAGGTCATGGGAGGCAGAAGAGGCTGGAGTCAGTCCACAGTGGTTTCCTAATTTTTCTGCTCTTTGTTTCTTACTCTTCTCCTCTGCTCCACCAGCAAGGGATCTTCCAGGGGCTGGAGTCACCCTGTGGGTGTACCTTCTCCTTGTGATTCCTCCCTTGCACCCGCTCATGTCTCCTCCTGTATATCCCCTTGTGCATCCTCCCTCTAGCAGTGACCACCCTTTCTTAAATATGTTTTCACAGAGGTATCATGCGCTCCTCTCCTGGGTTGAGTGCTGACATGTGCTGGGTCAGTTTTGTCTGTTGTGGAGCCAGCTGGAAATGGCTGTGACCCACACAGGGCAGCCTCTGACCTCCTGCCACACAGCTCACCACTGCAGCCACCTGCCCTTACCAAAACCTGCCTGTTACAGCCAACACAGGCATATTTTGCCAATGTAGAACATAAAACTATGTGCAGCCATCCTACAAAGGTATGCCAACTTTTCAACAGTGCCAGAGCCTTGTCCTCATCAGGTTTTCTGTGTTTTTATTTTTCCTTCCCACAATGTTGGGATCTTGCTTTGAAGGCTTACTTAGCTAAGTAGGCTATTTTATATTTACATGAGGAAAATTTATTCCTGTGGGATATGTCACCAAAAGAACAAAGCTCCCCTATCCTTTTTTTTTTTAAGTCATGAATTGTATTGACCCAATGGTGCAAAATTCTGAATTCTTTCTACACATGAGAAGGCTGACAAAACAGAGTTAAATTAACAAAACAAACCATTGCCTTGGGAAAGGAAGGGTGAAAAAGAATCTTCTTTATGTTGAGGTTATTTCATAATTATCTATTAGTTGATTGCATTTTTTTTTCTTAGACATTTAGCATAGGCCACCATCAGGTAGTGAGGCTGTCTAATTCATTGGCCTCACTATCTGATCAATGGTATGGTTTTATGTCAAGATAACTTTCTGCAGTTGAGTTGTAAACAGCTGGAAAAGTTTTTGTAACTTTAACCACCACCAAAAAAATGCCACAATGTACAGCACTAAATTCAGACCTCCTCGATGAAACTTCTGAGATATGGTTCTGGTCTCTGCTTGCAGAATTCAGATCAAATGTGTTACACCATGGAAATAAATCTTGCAACTTCTTTACTGCCTGTTTCTGAACATCCTCAGACTTTTAATGACACAGTTCTTTTGATAAATATTTGCATACTGAGAAGAATTAAGAATTAAATATTTTGAGCACATTTTCTACCTTGTTACCATTTCTGAACTGTTTTCAAATATTTTCTTCAGATGTATAATCTGAACATTTTCAAGATGTATAATCTGGGTTTTTTGCACTAAATATTGCATCTTTTTAAAAATTCTTACTCTTCTTGTGTGTATCTACTTTTTTGTTAACCTACTTAGTCATATGATATATAACTTTTTATGCAGAATACACATACACATATGCATGTTATATATCTAGTAACTGGAAGCAAAGTATTTTTAGTTTTTGTAACACTGTGTTTCTTTCCATAATTGTTTTTTAGAAAGGTAAAAAGCCATTTCTCCTGGCATCTGAAAAAGGCCATGTTGACATGATAAACAATTTGATTACTCTGAAGCTGTTTACATCTGAAAAAGATAAGGTAAAAGTTTCTTTTCCACAGAAGTACAACTAAAAACGTGCTTATGAAAGATTACTTTTTCAGTGTAGTTAGTACACAATCAAGTAATGTGAATAAGCTGTACAGATGTCACAGTGCTGGTAGTGATATATATTGAAACAACAAATATATAAGGATGATGATTTTTCAGTATTTAAGGGAAGACAGTGGGCCTTCTGGTCTTATTGCCAGGAGACTTTTCCATACACATTAATAATTAATGTAAAGTAAGACTAGCATATGCTGTCTGTTGGGAGAAGTGGGAAAGTCTGGTGATTAAGGTGTCAGCCTCAGTACTGGGACATCGTATTTCCCAGTTTTTCACTCTGCTTGGCTGTGTCTGTGTGTCACTGCTAAGTCCTACATAATTTTTCAAAGGTATTTAAATACTTCACGATGCAAATAAACACCTATGGGTATTTTTCAGAAGTGCCTTTACACTTTAATCTGATTCAGTTTGCTTTTGACACTGCATTTTAAGGTATCTAAATAATTTTCAAACTCTGCCCTTAAATTTCCTTGTTTGACTATTAGTGGAATGAGTAAGTTGGTATTTCTCTGCATCTGAGGCATTCCAAGGATAAATATATTAAAAATTGTGAAATGGTCAGATACTGCATTTATATAACCATGTAAGTAAGCACCCAGGAAATGATGCTGTCTTTTTTGGTATTCTGGCAATAGTTTAAAATCTGCAGTGCAACCCAGAGCTCTGCTGTGCTAAGCAGTTTATCAGTGGAGGTTAAAGGACAGTGTTGTCCCAGATATCTAGCAGGCTGAAGGTATAAACAGCAACAGTACGAGGTAAATGCTGTGATCCTACAGAGTAAGTAGGTAAGAAGGCAGGACAGAAACTTGTCTCCTGGGTCACTAAAAGCAATCACACTGGGATTTGAATACCACCCCACATCCCACCCACAACCCAATGCTGTGAAAGAAAACCTGTCTTGGACTCTCATTTCTCTGAGGGTTAGGATTCTTTTCCTGATTTCCAGCTTCAGTTTAGTTTTAGTCACTTTTATACTTTTTCTTTTCCCAGTATTGTCTTTTACCTCAAACCCTGCTGCTCTTCCTGAACTTGCTCCTTGTTCTTATTTACTTGCTGGTGTGGTTTTGGTTTTTTTTTTTCCTTCTTCATTAGCTAGTGAGAAATTGTGCTGATGCTGAAGGACATTGAAGATAGCAATGTTGGCATCAAAGCCATTACAAGTTTCTATATACTTACCTAGTATAGGTAGATTTGGCCATGGATTTGGCCATTAATCTTTAAATCAGTGATCTTGGGGGCCTGGTGTAGTACCCATCCTTTCAGGAACCAGTAGCAATGTTTTCTTCTTTCAGAATATGAGACAACCAACTAGACCAGCAAGGCTATGTCTGCATACATGCGAAAAGGCTCCTTTCAGATTAGTCTGAATCTTGGAACATGTTGTGTAGATCTGCCTCCTTTTCCTTGTATGTAAAAGACTAAAGGCTTTGTGTTGTTTTTACTTGATGTTTTGACTTTATTCCAGGTTTTAAAATATCTTATTTGACATTTTAATTTCAAGGAGGGAAACACAGCATTGCATCTAGCAGCCAGAAGTGGTCACAGTGGCGTTGTAGAAATTCTGCTTGAACAGTGGGAGGAAATAAATGACCTCAACCAGGTAAGGACACAGAAATTAATTGAAAGAGGTAAAGTCAGAGATTTGAAAAATCAACTAAAAAATAATACTTTGAAGGAATGAATGTTGCACTGAGTAGACTTCATTAGTTCTGCTGCTTTTCTACTACCTTTGCATCCTGTTTCATTGTCCCTCCTCCAATAAATTCAGCTTCATTAACTCCTTCAGTGTCTCTTCCTCTGTCCTCTGTTCCTCACACAATGGCCTCCCCTCCACCTTGCATACATTTGCATAACTAGTGGTACAAGGAAACAGAGGGGGGCCTAACCTCCACCTTGCTTCCTGTCCTCCAGCATTCCTGGCCACATGATCCTGTTCCTTTTACCATCTCTGGAGCTTTTCAGGCTATTCAATTAGCCAGTTCAACATGCACACCTGGCACATACCATGACAGACATCTCACCAAAGAGGTCTCAGATTTATACTTTGTTCATCTGATCCCAACTGACTGCACAGAATTGGCTGCAGGCACTGCCTACCCACTTTTTCTTTCCTGGGTTAGTGTTGGTGAGCTGACAGCGTATTCATAAATTGCCTATGAGCTGTGAAGGTTGTATCCCTGAGTTAATGCACTCAGCTTAATTTTAAGGCTTAAATTAGGGGTGGAGGAGGGAAATGCACACTAACTACTCAACTCACCATTCTTGCCTTGCAAAGGGTCCTTGTGTCTTCTGCTTCTTCTATGGGGAAGCTGGAATGAACTGTGCAAGTTAATTCATTTTGTTGCGGACTCTCATGCCCACTGCAGGAACCTGCTGTGTGGTTGATGGTCTGTTCTGCTGGCCCAGTGGGTGAAATGAGTAAGGGACACTGACTCCTGCCCAAGGCCCTCCTCTTCCTTAATCAGCAGCAAACTTAGGGGTCAAGGCGTTCTCTCGTATCCAACTTATCTGTTATTTCCAGCTATGCAAGCTTTGAGGCACATGAGCCCCTTTGAAATGTGAAGTCCTTGTGTTTTGAGGTATTGTTTAACAACGTTGCTTTTGCGCACAAACCTTGTACTGCTTGTGCCCCTCCTTTGCCATGGCTAATGGTGTGACCTTCCTGTCCATCTGGAGATGTTCTGATCTGTCAATAAACAGGTCTGTCTTTCCCCAGCATGAGCAAAGCACTAAAATCATAGAATGGAATCATAGAATCATGGAATGGTTGGGTTGGAAGAGATCTTAAAGATCATTTAGTTCCAACTCCCCTGCCATGCGCAGGGACACCTTCCACCAGACCAGGTTGCCCAAAGCACCATCCAGCCTGGCCTTCAACACTTCCAGGGATGGGGCATCCACAGCTCCTCTGGGAAACCAGTTCCAGTGCCTCACCACCCTCACAGTGAAGAATTTCTTCCTAATATCGCATCTAAATCTTCCCTGTTCCAGCTTAAAGCCATTGCCCCTTGTCCTATCACTTCATGCCCTTGCAAAAAGCTGCTCTCCAGTTTTCTTGTAGGCCCCCTTTAGGTACTGGAAGGCTGCTCTAAGGTTTCCCTGGAGTCTTCTCTTCTCCAGGCTGAACAACCCCAATTCTCTCAGCCTGTCTTCACAGGAGAGCTGCTCCAGCCCTATGATCGTCTTCGTGTCCCGCCTCTGGACTCACTGCAACAGGTCCATGTCCTTCTTGTGTTGGGGGCCCCAGAGTTGAATGCAGTACTGCAGGGGCGGGTCTCACCAGAGAGGAGGAGAGGGGCAGAATCACCTCCCTTGACCTGCTGGTCATGCTTCTTCTGTTGCAGCCCATGGGCCAATGATTGGCTTTCTGGGCTGCAAGTGCAC